GGTACCGGGCCGCGGCGTAAAAAAGGTTGGGGATCACTGCTCTACATGACTTCAAGCAAACCAATTTTCTGTTGTCCACATGTTACAGAAAAAAGGATTAACATATGTGGCATCCCTAGAAAAGGAATTAAAAAAAATAGCTTTCCTTGAGCTGAATTCAAATGAATAGCTTCCCTTGATTTCAAATGAATTCTGCAGACACATCAATACAATTCTCTTGGCTTGGTATGAAAATGGCTTGTCATCACCTTTTCTCAGTTTTTTTGCTTAATTTGCCAATTTAGACACTAGCCTTGGATTTCACAGGATACCTCTTATAAAATAGTATGCAGAAACACTCTTGCTTTCTGGATTAGCCTAGGTCCATTACCAAGTGCTACCATTTTCTCAAATAACAATTCTATCTGAAAGCATTTTTAACATGCAAGACAAATCACTGCAAGTTTGCTGGCATGCCTTATATTGCTTTTATTCAGCTGTTATTATTTTTATAAATAACTCAAGGTGGTGAACATATCTAATGTTCTTTCCTCCTCATATTTTCCTGACAGATTTCAGAATTTTCCTGAATTCACTACAAACTGAATTGTCTGCTATTCAAAAGTCAAGGGATTTTTTTTTTTAAAAGTAGAAGTATTATTATTTTTCTATATTTAATGAAAGAGCAGATACAAAGCTCTTTCCTTTAATTTAAAAGGAGCAGAAATAAGAAAAAAAAACCGGTTGTTGTATTTTAGCATACAATGAATTGGTTTGGACCAGATAATAAACCAGGGTTCAGGGTAATGCTCAAACTACATGTTATATTAGCATAGTTATTTTCATCTTAGCATCATCTAACTATCTCTAATGCTTACCATCAGCAGTTTAACCTCCTTTAGTCAGACCCTAATTATTTCATTCCTCTGCCACAAATCCTCTTTCACTTTAAATCCCCATTTTTTGAAACAATGCCTTTCAGATGTTATTGACCTTTAGCTTCTGGCAATGCAATCTATCTCTCCATTTGGTTAACATCACTTTCAATAGCATATTTTGGGGGACTTCCAGTATATTTTGAGTCAGAAAATGACAATTGGGTAAACAATGTGACACGTCAGGCACCAAAACAAAGAAATGCTATTCTTTTCCCATTTGAATATCGCAATATTGTAATCTTCCTCAATATCTTATTTTCTCTCCTCCTCCTAAGTGCATATGATTTTTTTTATATGCCACAGAAAAAGGAATGTAATATCTGCCAAGACTTCCATCCTATCACCAGTTTTCATGCAGATGGTCTCATGGGGAAAACTTGGGGGGGGTGTGTGTCAATGAAGACAATGAAAACCTGTGCAAAATAGAATATGGTTGCTGGACTTTTCATTGGGGTATTCAAGAAGAGGGACTAGTTTTAGATTTCTAAATTGGATCAAAGGCACAATTGTTTCTTGGGAGGCAAATATTTTACTGCTTTTATTTTAAAGCAGGGCAGAAAAAAAAAACCTACAATACACAGTAGCTTTATGATACTTTCAACTTCGGCAGCATAGATTCATGCTCTGGTTAAAAATGGCATTTTCTTTTCCATGGGAATGTTCAAAACTTTTAACTCCAATTATTGTTTTTTGTCTTAGGGAGAAATCAAGTGTAGATACGGTGGATTTTCTAGCAAATGCAAACAAAAATAAGATCCTTGTGATTCTATGAATTTCCTTTTGATAGTGAAGAAAACAAGATGCTCTGTATAATGGAATATTAATACAAACACACATCATGACATATTTTCTCCCTACATGTGCACAGAATCTGGAGGATCAAACAGTTCAGTCCATTATTGCTACATAAAACCAAAGCCGTTCCATAGTTGGTCAGATGGATTCTGTCATCTAGCCGACAAACTTATCAAAAGTTTGCTGACTTTTTTATATGGATGGCTTAGCTTTCATTTAATCTATTCTTACCACAAATGTTTTAGTCATTCTGTTATATATCGTGTAATAGTTTTTTGTTAACCAACAAGAGCCCAATTTCATGGTATCCTTCTAACAAATTTAATTTAAAAAAAAAATGTCTATCAATAGCCATGGTTTCAGATAGTAAAGATGATCTTTGTTTTGTATCCATGATATAATTGTAAAAAAGTGAAGGATGGACAAGAAAATAAAAGATAATCTTCCTATATATCAGGCGTGTCAAACTCGATTTCATTGAGGGCCGCATCAGGCTTGTGTTTGACCTTGGGGGGCTGGGTGGGCATGTCCAGGATGGGAGTGACCAGCTTGACATCATTTGTGTGGGGGCACCTGTGGCCCAAGTGCTCTGCCAGAGAAAACAGGCTCCTGAGCTCAGTTTTTGGCTGGGTTGGCAACCCCCTGCCAGCAAAAATGGAGCTCAGGAGGGCCATGTTTTTGCTGGCAAAGGCACCGCAGGCTGGTCCTTCGCTATTTCCAGGGCGGCCCTGAAGGCCAGATCTAAGTACCCCCTGGGCTGGATCTGGCCCCCGGGCCTTGAGTTTGACACCCCTGCAATACATTTCACCTTCATTGATTACATGGTACAAATTGGAATAATGTTAAGAAACAGTTCTCCTTTTTAAAATACATCTATACAATCCTACCTGGGTTTCTAGTTCTGTAACTTCCAGATTCAGCTTATTGAGGTGCTTATTCACAAAAGTAATGAGAGTCTAGAAATTAAGAACATAAGCTTTAAAGGTTTTTAAAAACAAGAGTTCCGTAAAACATGCAATCTGAGCTTTAAAATAATTTAGCATTTAGTAAATTTGCTTGTTTGTTGGCTTTTGAGAAAGAGGAAAATGCTATGGAACTCCATCCTAAATATTAAATAAAGAATGACTACATATTGCTGGGAAATATTTATCACTTTAAAAAACAAAGCATTATCCTGTTGTAACAAATAAGCTGTTGTAAAGTGGAATGCCACTGTTTTCTCTTCAAGGAAGCTGTGCTGATCTAGATCAACTGGAGATTATATAATACAAATGTGTGAAATGGCAATTTTGGTATTTCATTCCTTTTCTATACCACCTTTCACTAGAAATAATGTACAGAAAAGCATTTGCATTTATATTATGAAATATTTATTTTAAGTAGAGGGGAAAACAGGTAAAACTTCTCAGATTTCAATAAGATGCTCTTTCATACAGTGATTTTCTATACAGTACCTCCAGTGAATATTCAGAAGGATCAATAGGAAGCCAAAAAGCCAAGAGAGAACTGAAGTACTTATACAGAGGGAAATATGATGGGAGGCAAGAGGCGGGCAGTTTCCAGGGGAAGATTGGAAAACTGGTGCCAAGTATTTTCTTAGTCCAAATCCTAGGTACCAGAATGTAGAAGGCCTTGATCTGAAACTGATATTGCTGAATGGCACATCCACATGTAATATGATCATGTTCCTCTACATATGAAGGGGAAAGTACACCTGGGATGTGTTGCTGAAATCTAGTTGGGCACAGATGGAGGGGGAGTCCCCTTGTCTAAGATGTACCTGGCTATATTTTGCATATTCCACCAGTCTAAAGCTTTAGGAGGAAGAATGGGAATGATCCTCCAAAATACATTAGTGACCAGGTGCTGTGCTGCACAGATAACCGGAGGAGAGAGTACATATCTACAGTATGTAACTTAGCACCAGAGCTAACTTGTATTGCCTATTCTACTGCCTAGCACCCTTCCTACTTAAGCTGTTTGACATTATGGCTGACTCATGGTTGATTTGCTTTGATTTTTGGGGCTCTGGGATTTTAATATTCCTGACTTAAGGTAGGTTTGGGATTACATGATTTCGATAAAGTATGGGGTGTTTTTTGTTTTGTTTTTGCAAATCACACATACTAGAGGCCCACTGGAATAGCCTTTATTTAGAGAAGTAGGGATGTAATCTGAAAATCAAATATGTTACTCTTAGTTCTTTGCCACAGTCAATTTATTTCCTGGCTGATGATGCCAGTTGGCACCATGGATTAAGATGGTCAGCCACAGACACAGTATGGATACTACTGAAGCAACACCAATTGCTGGGAATTTTCTCAAAAGTTTGGAGAGCACTTCAGCTAGGCGCTTAGTCAATCAACTTCTACAAAATGCAGAGATTATTTCAACTGCTGTAATTTAAAAGAATATCCTTTAGATCTAGAGGAGCTATTTGGTTAATCATGGACCTTCGTTGTCTAGTGATCCTTCAGCTCTATATGGTAGCAGTCAGGTTGGAAAAGTGTCAGTGCTTCCCACCCTTAATGTATCTGTGGATTGCTATCTAGCAGTCTTACTAGATAGTAGTTACCCATTTCCTTTTGCAGGGTGTTTGGTCAGAAAAACTTTCCTATAAGGTATTTTGTTGCCCAAATAATTTGGAATTAGATGCCACATGGACAGAATCCAGTGAGATGACAAGTATTGTATGAACATATCTTGGATTTACTCAAAATATAAATATTAAAGAAGGGGACAATGTTTTTGGTTACAGAGCTCTTTCAACTTTGGAACTGATGCCTGCTTCACCTAGCTAGTGAAAATTGGGGATTGGGTTCAAGGTTTTGTGAAGGTTTTTTGAAGAGGGGATGATGCCATGCACCTTGATGTACATATATGGTAGCGTATTGTTCTTCAAGAGGCCATCTTTTGGCCTCAGGTTGAACTTGAAGAGTACATTACTTTGCTCTGTACCTGGATGACACACTGCAATTGAAAGCATACAACAAAAACAAATCTATGGAATGTCTTGGCAACATCAAAGTTTAGTTCTAATTAAATTCAGTGAGTTTCTAAGATAGTTAAATAGCACCTGTCAAAAACATTTTTGACTCACCTTTTTCACAACATTGAGTTTATCTGGAGCATGATCAAACAATGTGTCAAATGCATCTCGTTCTGAAAAACAGTTGATGAGAACAACATGTTAAATGTTAAACTACATTTAACATATAGTTAAATGCTACATTACTAGTGTAGGAATTCAAAAACCAGAAGGTCATTGACATCTACATTTAATAAGGAATATTTGGTCTACCCAAATAATTCTTGGCCTTTATTTTCCAAATGCACATTCATGTCGATCTATTTTGAAATCTATTGTTCTCCAGCCATGCAGGTTAGAAAGTATAACAAAGTATTGATTTAAGAAATGTAATTATTTTCTAATTATTAAGAAAGTATTCTTCTTTAGAAGAAATATACATTTACAGATCAATTAAGAAAATTTGGAATGTGAACTTAGTTGACTTTGAATTATATAACATAATTAATTGGAGAATAATTTACAAACATCTAGAAAATGTCAACAATCAATTTGTGCTTACCATGCCGTCCTGACATTGCCCTATAGAAAAGAAATAATGCAATTATTTGTATGAGTCCTCCTAAGAGTCATTTAATACATTTTGTTCAAGGCACAAATAGGCAAAGCAAATTAAACATGCACCTGCTAATTACATTCAAAGCAGAAAAGATTGACTCTGAAAATTCCATTAAAACAAAAGCCACAGAAGGTGCTGTCTGAATGACCAAGGAGTAGAAGATCCATAAATCTGGTGCCATCAACTAAGAAAGCCCTTACCTGAATTGTTTCTAATTTGACTTCTAAGTTGGCACTCACAAAAACTCCTGAAAACATATATGGGAAAACTACCTTCTTGTTTAAGGAATTATTTGATTTTAAAGCTTCTTATATTGAGAACATCTCCATATCTTTATATTATTTCTATTTTTATTACTTGGAGTGAAGCCTGTTTGAAGTTTCCATTAGTGGAACCCGTACTCTACAAGGAAGATTTGGTAAAACTGGAACGTCTTAACCTTGACTTGACTTACTCAGTATTGCCAGTTATTTCCTCTTGGATCTGTCGGGACTGGAGGATTCCTTCTCGTTTCTGAAAAAAATAACAATAATTAGCCATAAAATAGGCAATATTTAAATTGTAAAATTATATCTTCTCTAATTTCTTTCCTTATTTATACTTTTATTAACTATTAATTCTAAGATGGGAATCTTCCTGTATGAACCCTGACACGTGTATATAAGGTTAGCTCAACAGGAATTTTTATAAGTTAATGGCAAGCATTCATTATGGCTGAATATTCATGTTACTGTTATTCCTATTCTAGGGGAGGGTCAGTAACTTTAAATAGGAAACAGAAGGCAGCAGAAGATCCATGATACAAGATGGGCCAAGAAAAGACTAGATGGAGACTTATATTTTATAAGTGGTAAGTAGGGATGGACAACTACTTTTACCTGTCACTTTACTGTGAATGCATTCATAACTCTTCTCTCATTTCCACATTAATAAATGTTTTTTATTACAAAAAAATTCTACATAAACATTCACTTTTAGTTTTGTTTTTTTCTCAGAACCTGGAATTTTAACTTGCTTTCTGTCAAAGTAAGCATTTCCAAGTAAATTTCAAAATAATAATTGGAAATTGGTTTGAAAATCAGAATAAGCACTTTGATTTAGTTTTGAAATAAGAACAACCAATTCCAACAGACAGATACATACTATTCTGCATTTTTTTCCCTGGAAGGTTCAGTCCACACCTTGTGGAAATGTACAAAAAGATTTATATATTCCTACACCAGTGCTTCCAACTATGGCATATTCAAGATCTATGGATTTCAGTTCACAAGAGCGTTGATTGCCAAGAATTCTGGGAGCTGCATGCCACAACCCTGCCAATTGCTAAAGCTGGAAAACTGCCCTGCCCTTATAAGGATGCCAGTGGTGAAAAGGGAGATTCTCCAGAAGCAAAATTCAGCCAGTTAAATATCTAAATAAGAGAATTTCTAAGGCTGACTGAATTAGTCTGAATATATGTTCAGCTTCTAAAAAGTAACAATCCAAAGCCACTCCAAATATCAAGCAAGGAGACACTGTATTTTATTTAACAGTAAAAATTGTGGCTTGGCATAACAAAATCAAGATCCTGACAGCAGGCAGGAATCTTGCCATCACCAGGGTTCTGTCTTAAATTCCCAGTTTGCTTTGAAACTGTCCTCTGCCTTTTATGGAAAGAAGGACTTCAAACCTTCGTAGGGTGATTATTCACTTCAGCGTTAGGATAATAATGGAAGCTGGTAATTTTACAAATATGGCATATTGTCCTACTCATTTGGTGATGCATTCTCATTTTTTAAAACGGCTTAACTACAAGAATCAAAAGGTATCCCCCCCACCTGCCTTCCACTTGAAGTAATTCTCGAATAAAACCCAGGGAACCAATTTCAAGCAGGTACTGTTGTGTTTGTTTTCCAAACAGCCACAATCTTATTTGTGTATGGTTACTTATACGAAATATAAGCTTGTTCTGCCTGTTATTTTAAGGAGACAGAAAGCAGCTTGTCTTAGAAATATTTATCATGGAAGCTAGAATTTTCACAGGCTCTTTCTCCAGAAAAAAAAACAATTCTGAAAAACTGACAAAAGCAAGTTCAGTAAAAATAACAAGGATTTTAAAATGTGAATTTGAAATTGTAGGTAGGTCATACAGCTGGCAGACTGATAGAAAGATCTATATTATTTGCCATGTTGAACATGTACTATCAAAAGAGGCATTTATTAAACTTGTGTTCAGTGAGCAAATACAAATATTTGAAGTAGAAAGTAGAGCCATGCAAATCCTTTGAGGGAAATGCTTTGAACCCAGGGGAGCATATACAAAGCATCTCTCTTCAAATTGCAAAGCAGCCACCTCTGTTTCCTGGCTTTTACAAGCTGCTTCCACATGTGTTTGCACAAGTTGCCACTTCGTTTCACATTTCCCTCAGTAAAGCAAAATGCATGTGCACATATATGCAGAGAGAGCTGGGAGCAGCTTCTGAAGCAGCAATGTAAACCCGGAAATTGGCAGGCTCTTTCATGATTTGAAAATTTGATCTGTGTGCATATTCTTTCACAAGATTTGTATAGTCCCAGTAGAATGCCACAACATGGAGCAAGACAACCAGAAAGGTGAAAAATATTAACTTTAGGACTCTTGCATGACAACCTCAGAGTTACACTTTGCCAAAATCTGATTTAATCTTTACTATATTAATGTTACCGTTCCGCTCTTATGCTATCAGTACACTCAGCTCTAAAAAAGAAATGCTGTGCTTTTGACTTTTTTTCTCATTGAAGAAAGATCAAGCAGAAACATGCCTTTTTTCTAAATACTTTCTATAGTTTTAAAAGGGTGCAGAGTTGCAGAAAACATTCATTCATACCTGGACAACCACAACTTGAATAGACACATGATCTGGCAACCTGATGGGGGCCCGAAAATACTGCGACAATGCAACCAAAAGATGCAGTATTGCAACCAGGCTTTTTGCATGGACAGCTGAAAGAGAGGAACTGAAATATTTTACTTGCCAACAACTATCAGTATGCAGCATATTTTATCTTTTAATACTTTGCCCACTAGAGGTTAATCCAAGGGTACTTTCGTCTGTTTCTCTTTCCTGCCATAAATCAATGGGTCTTATAAAAACAACTAAATCAACATTATTCCATTGGGTTAGGTGTTGCATGCTTCTAGTGATTTAAGAGGTTTGGGCGGCTGTAGTAAGTGCTATCTATGGATACCTAAGTGACATTCCTCTATCTGCACTATTCCAATGTTGATTTATAAAATATAAGAAGGATATTTTTTTGATTTATAACATGCACTTAATTTACTTTTAAGTATCATAATGTCTGCAGGAAGATGAATGAGTCCATTTAAGCCCGTACCCTTGTGCAATAACTTACTAAACAGACTCAAAAATTCCTCTCAAACTTGTTAAGAGGTCTTTCACAGCAGGCTTTGTATATGTACTCAAGACTAACAAGGCTGCAAGGTATCAAAAGACTTCTCATAGGAAATTTCTAATCTGTAATCATCAAAAGAAATAATTCAAAACTCATCATCATCATCATCATTCCCTTAACTTAGAGTATCCATGAATATCATGTCAAAGTATTTGATGTTAAGCATGCTTCAATTTAAGATTACTCACATATTATAGAACAACAATATAATAGTTGTTAATAACAACTATTCAACTGTATTGAATAACAACTATTCAACTGTATTGTTTGTCTATGTTTGATAACAGGTCTTTTGCAAACTAAAACTACAATGAAACACTTTCCAAACAATACATTTTTAGACTACCTATAGGATAAACATGCTTAAGCAAAGCAACCTAATGTATATACAAAATATTTTCAGACTTTATGGATGATGATCCAGCACAATATTTAGGATAAAGGATGGAGTATTATATCATATACAGGAAGTCCTTGATTTACAACCGTGGTGAACCTGAATTTCTATTATATGTCATGATGGTTGGAAGCTGAGGCACCCACATGATATTTTTTACAGCAATTATTAAATGAACATGGTGGTCATTAAGCAAATGTTGGAGTTGCTAAACTAGACCCATTGTCCAGTGCTTTTTGCTGAAAGCAGAAGTAAACACTAGTTTCTGGCAAAAATGATGTAAAACGTCATATGATTATGGGATGCTACAAATGGCCATAAATGTGGGTCAGTTGTCAAGTGCCCAAAATTCAATCAAATGGCTGGAGGGACAGGCAACAGCTCCCATTGGAACTTCAAATTTGAGTCTTAAGTATCTTTTTTGGGGGGGGGGTGAATCCATCATAACTTCAAATGGTACTAAAGGATTGGTCTAAGTTGAAGATTCTCCTGTACTTGATTTGAACGAAAGAATTCTAGTGTTAGATATCCTTTTACCAAAGGAATACTTCTGGGAAAGTCTTTTCCCCCCCAACCTAACTCAGCTAACTGGGAATTGAAAGGAATAAACAGAAGCATCTCTTGGACATGGTTGTAAATTCTTTGCAGAATTTAATGAGGAAAATGTATTACAGGATTTGCTCCAAAATTTGTGAGAAAATTCTCTCGGTTCTCTGGGCAAGAGACAATACAAAAAAATAACAACATTACATAGACTAGACTTTTTATTTTCCTGTGAACCAACTCCTTTAGATTTTCTTGGATATCAGTCTTTTTCACATTTATTGTTCTATAAAGCCCCATTGCAAATTATATCAGAAATCAGCAAAAAGACCTCTCCAGTTTTGAAGATATTCCTTGACGAATGCAGCACTTTGCCTTCATTTGTGAATGCTACATGGCACATACAATTGGAATTTAAACTTAACAACCTTTGAGTTGACGATTATTTGCCAACAATTACAAGCTTCTTTCTTTCGCCCTCTCAGTATGTCTGTGTATATATGTATGTATATGCTTTTAAATATATCTAAAACATTCATAAACATGCACAAATTCATGTCTTCATACACATGCCCCACTAAATTGGCTTCTGGTTACAAAACATTTCTGGCTTTTTTTCTTATTTAATAAACTTAACACAATTTTAATGTAATTTGTATAATACAAATTCTACTGTAAATAAATAACTCACAGTCCACATTCCATTTGATGTTCCTTGGAGGAAGCTTAAGGGTTTCATTGATCTTTTCAAGGACTGTCTGTAGCTTCTGTTTCTGAGCTATTTCAGACTGTGTGACTTCAGCCACATTGAGTTTCTCACTCTCAAGCTTCTCTGAAGTGATAATGGAAGAAAAAACAAGTCTTTGCCTCAACTCCATGTACCCAGTTCAATGTGAAGACATTCTGTTCCACATATTTCAAAATGGATTTTCTATAGAGAACCTAATTTAAAACTTCAAAAGTAACCACTGACAAATCACGAAGCAGAACTAAGTACAGTAAGGAAAAATCTTTCCTTCTGTTGCAGATTTCAATACTTTTAATAAAGCACAGTGATTTCAATACATTTTACATTTATTTCTTCCAAAAATATATATCTGACAGTATTGATGAATGACGTTCCTAGGGAAAAAAAACTACCTAGAATATTTTACTAATGTTAATTATAGTAACATTTTTTCAAAACTTTATAGTATAGTTTTCCTCAAAAACGGCCTTTAAACCTGGATGTCATCATTAAATATGATAGCACTACAGAAAGAGAAATTTCAGAGAGATGTCTAATTTAAGATGCTAAGTAAAAATAATTTAAAATATAATACAAATATAAAGGAAATGGTTATTTGCTGTTTAGACATTATAGCCATTCATTGGATAAAATCTATGAAAAGTAGGAACAAATTATTCTTAGGAAACAAAAGGAACTTATCTTTTCTTATTTCTTGGTTGTTGTTTTTTTTAAAAACCACTCTATATAAAGACAAAATTTCATCACACTATGCTTGAAAATAAAATTACTTCTTACCAAAGAGTTTTTGCAGTACTTGTCCATCATACATGTCTTCAGCCAGATCTTTTACTATTATTCTTTCTCCTACTAATACATCGTTAATCCAGTCTATTAATACCTTTGTTAAAGAGACCAAGATTTAGCAATATTACCCATGCATCATCGCAAATGTATGTTATACTAAACACGATATGATGTTCGAGACAATAGGAAAAAATTCAACATGAAAGATGCAGTGTATCAAGTTAAATACAAGAATTAAAATCTTGATATTGAAATATGACTATTTATGGCGGGTGTATGTTATATTGTATCAAATGAGTTAAGCTACACCATTTTTTTTAAAAAAAAGCTACCCATTTTTCAGCTTCCCAAATGTTGAAGTTACTTTATAGCAGAATTATATTTTTCTAATAAATTATCAGTAGACATTACAACTACTTAATGATGATTGCTGGATAAGTTACTGGGTAAGACTTAAAATATAAATTATTGCAATTCAATAGTGAAATTCAATGGAACTTAAAATATAATTATAGAAATCCAGTAGTTAAATTCAATGGTATTTAAGCATGAGGTAAAAAATAAAGACATCCTCAAGTCATATTCAGGTCATAGTAATCTCATGAACACAATTATGTAGGGATTTTTTGGCAATGATTCAGAAGGGACAAACAACATTTTTTTCCAGTTTTGAATCAGTACTGAAGATTAATATAAATATACATGAGGTAAACAATGAAATTTTAAAGAATGTTCTTCACATTCCAATATTTGTTCTCTCAGCAAATAAATCATTTACAGTAAATTCTATTTTTAGCTTTTTTTTGTTTATAGAAGAAAATGTTGGACTCAAATTCTAAATTTTCAAGGAGATACTTTCCACTATTAAAAATCTATATGTAAGCTTTGAATAGCAGAAAGGACTCTCTTCTACTTTACAAAAAGTGGACATGGAAGGCCCTCCGGTTTTGAATCTCCCTGAAAATAGACCGCTAACCGTGACTGTGCGCAGCTTTGGTCCATGCTTCGCCATCGGAGAGCTCCTATCGGTCAGATTTGGGGCAGAAACCGCCTTGTAGGGGTGGCGGAGGAAGGGGAGACCATCAGCTGGGTAGAGGGAGTCGCAAATCCCCTCCCTGGCTTTGCAATTGCTCCCTCCCGAAGATGCCTGAAGCGGTGGTCTAAAATGGCCACCCTGAAGGGGAAGATTAAACTGGAATAAGATTGTGCAGGAGAGAGAGAAAGAAGTGAACAGCAGGAGGAATGGGACAATATAATTAAATGGAAGGTACCCCCAGGATTAACATTTCAAAGAATTTTAAAGAAAGGATTTAAAGCAGCAAAGAGAAAGAGAGAAAAAAAAGGTGTGAATTGCTTTTGACACTGGTGGGGCTTTGAACTGGGAAAGGTAGAAGCTGGAAGAAGGAATCCTCTAATCAATTTGGATAAGTATATTCTGATTCTATATAGGCACTAATAAAACTGAACTATAAATTGTTAAAGAGAAAATTTAATACCAATTGGATTTGATCTTTTTGTTTGGAAGACTGTGGTTGAAAAAGCTCTGAATAATTGGAAAAAGAAAAAGAAAAGAGGGGTGAAGATCTGTTATAACAAAGAGTGCCATCTAAGTTAAATCTAACTTGTTTTTCTTTTAAACGACTCTGTTTCTTAAAAACTGTAAGGAAAATTGATACAATAAAACAAGAACTTTGAAAAATTGAAATATTGAAACAAAGAAAGAAACAGAAAGATTGGATTAATTGTTGATTCTGACATGGATTTGGCATTGGATTAGATGACGACTAAAACTTGAGAGGAAGAAAATAAAAGCTGACTGTTGGAAATTAACATTATTTATTTATTTATTTATATTTGTTAATTGCTTACAAGATAATAGGTATAAGTAAAAACATAGTTATGAATACATGGATACATATAAGAAAAATAAAAAATATATAAAAGAAACAATAGGGCAGGGACAGTAGGCATGATTGGTGCGCTTATGCACGCCCCCTACAGACCTCTTAGGAAAGGGGTGAGGTCAATAGTAGACAGTCTAAGGTTAAAGTTTTTGGGGTTTGGGGAAAAAACCACAGAGTCAGGTAGAGTATTCTAGACATTGACCACTCTGTTGCTGAAGTCAAGTTGTATTTCCTGCAATCAAGTTTGGTGCGGTTAACCTTGAGTTTGTATCTATTGTTTGCTCTTGTGTTGTTATGGTTGAAGCTGAAGTATTCATTGACAGGTAGGACATTGCAATGTATGATTTTATATACTATACTTAGATCGGACCGAAGGCAGTGTAGTTCTAGGTTTTCTAGGTCTAGAATTTCGAGCCTGGTGGCATAAGGTATTCTGCAACGAGTAGAGAAGTGGAGAACTCTTCTTGTGAAATATTTCTGAACTTTCTCAACTGTGTTAATATCAGATACGTAATGTGGGTTTCAGACTGATGAGCTGTATTCGAGTATTGGTCTAGCAAATATTTTGTATGCTCTATTTAGTAGTGTAATATTACCAGAGAAAAAGCTATGTAAGATTACGTTAACAACTCTTAACACCTTTTTGACTATGTAGTTACAGTGGGCTCTAGCACTTAGGTCATTTGAGATGAGTACTCCAAGATCCTTGACAGAGTTTGGATCATCAACAAGGTCTTGACTATTCAGCCTGTATTTTATTTTCTGATTTTTTTTCCCAATATGTAGGACAGAGCATTTATTTGTTGAGATTTGAAGTTGCCATTTGTTTGACCATTCTGATACATAGTCAAGGTCTTTTTGAAGGGTAGCAGTATTGTCTGTGGTGTTGAATAGCTTTACATCATCAGCAAAGAGAATGCAGTTGCTCTTGATATGTTCACAGAGGTCATTTATGTAGAGTATGAAAAGAGTTGGTCCTTCAAAGACACTATTTGGATTAAATTGCTAATTAGAAAGTTGTAAAATGGCGATATCTCTTCTGGAATTAAAAATGGAACTTAGAAGCATGAAAGAAATATTACAAGAGTGAGGTGAATTGCTGGGCTTTGCTTTAAAATTTATGGAAAATGTGATTGTAGAATATGAACGAGAAAGACAAAAGACAGAAGAGGAGGTGGAGCAAATCATAGAAGGGGCCATCTTTAATTATCATCAAGAACAAAGAACTCTGGAAAGAGTTGGAAATAAATATAGGAGATTTAAGAAGTTAAATAAAGAGGGGAATATCCAGAAAATTAAAAAAGGGAAAAAGAATCAGCAGAAATTCGAAGGGTGGAAGGAAGCTATAAATAGAGAGGGGGATAAAAACTGGAGTGAAAGAATAAAGGGGAAAATACAAGGGGAAAGAAGGGATAAGAAACAGGACTTGGGAACAAAGAAATATGGGAATTGTAAAAAAAATGGGGAAAAATTGTTTAATTAGTCATAGAGATAATGGGTGATTAATATTTAGAGAGGGGATTCTGCAAGGTCTTGAGGGGTAACATAAATAAATTTATAGTTAAGAAATAGGGACATATAGATTGATAAGATGGAAAACAAAACTGTTATTTCTCAATAATGGAATCTAATGCTCTTTTCCTTCATGTATAGAGATAATTGTAACAAATAATGGAATATGTTTATTAAATATATTGAAATATTTCTAGGACTAGAATGCAGGCTTTTTTGTCTAAATATGAATGGAATAATTAATGGAATACATGTATTAAATATATGGAAATAAATGAAATGATATAGGAGGAGAGCTGAAATGGAATTAACATCAGGATTTAGGATTAAATGAGTAGATTAATATGTCTTTTTTTTTGAAATTGTAAATAAATCTTATGAAATTAAAAAGGGGGGAAACCATGCAGAATCTGATTTATATATGCTATGTAGTTTTAAAGGGATTATTAATTTTAATGTTTTAGGTAATAAAATGTTAAACGTTTACTGGGATTTAAAAGGGGAGATAATTAATGAATATGTAATTTAAGAGGTGGCGCACTTAAGCTGATATTTTAGGGGGGGAAACCAATTTATAGAAGGAGTGTTTTTAATTAGAATTTAAGATGAAATATACAAATGTGACAGCTAAAAGTACTAAAGTATAATAATTATGAAGCTCACATAAGTGAATTAAATAATGAGATAAGCATTTGGCATAATACAATAAAATAGAAAATGTATAAAAGCATTGTTAAGATAAGAAATTGAATACAAAAATTGAACATGTAACTATGGTCATATTTGTATGTATATGTGAAATCTGAAATCATGCTGTTCACTAAAAAGATATGTTAAAATGTGGAAAACTGAATAAAACTTGTTTTTTTAAAAAAAAAAGTGGACATGGAAGTATCTTCGAAATTATCTCTATTTCAGTAATGAAAACTTTTGGAATACTTTGACTTCATTCTTAAACATATTGTTAGAAAAATATTGATTGCATAGAATTATTAGAACTCTCATCTCTAATTTCAGCAATGCTAGAAGTTTAGCTGATCTTTCTTTTTTTTAATCTTCCAAAATCACTAATGTTGGATGCAGATGAAATGAACATGGTCCATTGATTTTATTAAATTCCTATCAGGCTTTCAACTCTCCAAGAAAAACCTGCTACTCGTCACATGAATTAAAGTTTAGAAATTATGGTGAAAACTCTCTTTGGTCAACTAAATTAACTAAATCTTATTTCAGCTCACAAAATGGGCATTCCATATCGGTTAATTGAAGGGAAAGAAGATTTTCAGGAATTTCAACTATCTTTTGTAATCCTCCCAAAAAACTGTTCTAGAAGCTTGAGAGTTCCCAGGAGCATATGGGAGGGACTGCAGAGAGTAGGAAAAATTGGCAAAAATTGTTTTTTCACCTTCTTTTAGTAAATTTAAATGAAATGATCTTCCATTGATGGAATATTACTTTTTCAATTTCAGTTTATACTGTGACATTCCCATTAAATTTAAAAAATACCCACTGTTTCTTTAAAAAACTTCAAATATGTCTGGTTTTAAATAAGTTGACATTCAAACCTGGGGAAAAAATCCTCATCTCTGAAGAAATGGAACAGCAATACGCTGTTTTCTTCACACATTAATTTCACAAGTCTTTGGTACCTATGTTTAAGGTTTAAAAAATGCAGATTGTTGATATTTAGTCACTGGGTATATTTTTAGTTCTGCTGTTAAATATGAATTGTTCCATTTTTGTTCGGCTATCATTTGTTGTTATATTTCAGATTATTTCTTTGTTTATATCTTGGAAAGCCTAACAGAGTTAAATGGCAAGATTAAAATTATTTTAAATAAATACCTAAACCATTTAAAAAATAAAATTTAGGGGAACAATTAGTGTTAAAGCTATAATCCACAAAATATTTTCTGCTAAAGGATCCAGTGATTCACAAGCCATTTGTCTTAAACACAGGAAGTACGTTTTACAATGAGTATTGAGTAAATGGAGGTAGGAGAAGGCTGATGTGATTCGGAGAACCCAACTTACTTTATTTTGCCTGAATTTTATAGACTACTTTCAAAGTGTTTGAAGTTGAAAGAACAAGTATTACCTTCATTAGCTCCTGTAGTTTTGGGTCACTTCTTGAATTGGGATCAATCATTGTTCGAACTTCATTTTCCTCTTTGAAAAAAAATGGAGAGAAATGAAGAAGGAAGATTCCTCGTTATAAAAAAAAAGGCATACTTATGACCAGTTTAAATTTAAAAAAGTATTTCAAATTACCTAACATAGTATCTTCAGGATCTAATTCAAAAGGAATTGGACTGAGTGGTAAATTTATGGCATTTATTCCTTCTTCCTGTAGTTCAGATACTGAAAGGAAAGAAAAAAAAGGTTAGTGAAATTAAAAAAAAAATTCCTTGATGTTACAATGCCTTTTAGTAGCAATAAGGAGTGCACTTTATGTTCTTATCCAATGTTGAGAGATAATTGTAAAATGAAGTGAGCAGGAAACAAAATGCAAAACTGACAAATAACAGTAAAAAGCAAAAATTATGGGTCATTGAGGACCTGACATGACTGCAACTTTCTGTTAGTTTCCAACAAGCAATGTTAATGGGGCTGGGAGTTCTACGTCCTGGGCAACTTGCAAGCAGGCCAGAGGATTTGTGGATAATGGCCCCTCACAAAACAATTCCAGTACAATAATTATGCAAAGAATGTATGCACCCATTAAATCAGGGATGTCAAACTCAAGGCCCGCAGGCCAGATCCGGCCCATGGGGTACTTAGATCTAATATGTGGGACCACCCTGGAAACAGCGAAGGACCAGCCCATGGGGCCTCTGCCAGCAAAAACAGAGAGCTCTGTTTTTGCTGGCAGAGGGTTACAGGAGGCCAGTGCAGCCGAAAATGGAGCTTGCGAGCCTGTTTTCACTGGCAAAGCACTTGGGCCGCCAAGGCGCCCCTGACACAAGTGATGTCAAACCAGCCATGCCCCCCCAAGGTCAAACACAACCCTGATGGGCCCTCAATGAAATCGAGTTTGACACCCCTGCATTAAATCATTCAAAATAATGTGTTCTATATTTTTAAAAACTGAAACTGCACCATAACATTCCCTCCTCAACCCACATACACTCATGTGGCACCACAGCAACTTCTCCCTAGCCTGAACCCACTCTCCACAACACCCCTCTGCCTTACTCTGTAGTATCCACAAGTCCTCTGGCCTGCTTGCAAGTTTCCCAAGACTTACAACTTCCAGCCCTACTGACATTGCTTGTTGGAAGCCAAGCAGAAGGTTGCAGTCGTGTCAAGCCCTCAATGACCCATGATTTTTGCTTAACAACGGCAACAGGGAGTAGGATTGCAAGCAGGCCAGAGTTGCTAAGCAACCTGGTCACGTGATATCTCATTTTATCATCATTTAGCTGCAACATTTAGCAATTCAGGTCCCAATTACCCTTGTTAAGTGAGGACTACCTTAGATGTTGCACATCTAGGAGGTCAGTTCTGATTTACTTCAGAATTACTGCAGAAAGAGTGCCAACTCTTATGTATGTGTAGACTTCTGCTAGGTAGATACTAGGGGATGGGGCCCAGGAAAGATATGCAATGTTTTGGAGGAATACCAATTCTCTTGCTCTCTTGTATCTGTGGAACTCTTCATATTTATGGAATTAAATCTATAGCTAACAATATTCAGCAGTAAAACTATCCCCTATTTGAAGAACCTGACACAAAAATCGACAATGAAGAATTCATTCCTGCCCATCACTAATCTAGAAGCAGCTTTCTTTTCCAAAATAAAAGTATATAAATAAATTCCGCCCTTTAAAGTCCCTGGAAACTGATGAGTCTATCAGAAGGCATAAATAGCAGTGCCTGCAAGGTTTAAATTAGCTTAATTTCTTTAGTATATGCAGGCATGTCCTCCATGTTGTGCTTTATTAGACTTTATTTCATGTCTTTTGTTACTATTTATATTTCCATTCATTAGCAATTTCAAACATTCCATCTTGAAGGCTTCCTACTATTTTATTTCAGATTATAGGGAATAAAAAAGGAGAAGCTGCTACTAATGGTTAACCACACATTGTGCTGCTCAACAATTACAGTCATCATTTTTTTAAAGGCTGGGAAAGTGGGGAAAAAACTCTTTGTTTGCTTTGGGAAGCAATTCCTGATCTTTCCTAACTAACAAAAAGAGACGAAAAAGGAAGCCACATATATTTTCCTAATTCTGTAAACATAATCCTTATTGTTTAGGCCTTGGGTACAACGGGCTTGCTATTTGCTTAGCACAATTCTGTACCAATGTACAGTTTTGGTTTCCAGGTGCTTCAAAGAGGAATTAATGTACTCTAATTAGTACTTAACACACCTGACCTAACCTATACAACAGCACTGAATCCAGAAGCATCCCATAGATGCACATTGTGTTTTTAGGAACTGTGTAACCCCATTCAACATCAGTGGCATTCTATTACTCAAATAATATAATTTCCAATCCAAAGACATATCCATTTCCCAATAGAAAGTTTGTTCTTCCTCATCCAAGAACTGAATATATATGACAATTTATGAGTTCCATAGCTTCCAAAGCTGAGAATTAGTGGAAAATAAAGGCAGTGTTGTCCGTAATTTGCAAACTGTTGATAACGAGATTCATTATACAAATGGCTTATTTCACTGGTTTACTTTGCTCCATGTGTGCCCATAAACACATCCTCTGAGGATTATCAGCCTGTAGAGTGGAAGAGAATCACACCATATTACTTAGATAGACCAGACTCATAATGTGCCTCATAACCCAAGACAGAAAGCTGTGATAAGGGAACATCATGTTCAATACTATCAAACACCACTAAAAAAACCAACATATGATTATTCTAGTCCCATTTATTGATAGGATATACAAGTCTCCTTTCATCTTCAAAGCAGGACATACAGTAATCTAGATTGGAGAGAACTAGGTAAAATGATTTACTCCAAAATTATAAAGAGTTGAGACATTTCCTTTTTCTAGCTCATAAAGATAGTTATGAATAAATGATAGGCATTTCTAAAAATGACTGTAAGGATTGGGCATTGGTATTTTATGCACATTACAATTATTTACTGATTTGGATGCATTTACCTGCCATGGTTCAAAGCATCTATAGAAGACAATATAGCTGCTGTTTTAATATTGATCTATACTGATTAGGGTGCCTGAACATGAATATGAGTAATACTGTCTAAAAGTGGCATTGCCAATTGGTTACAGTCAGACTAAGTGCATAAAGTCACAAAGTACACAGACTAACTGAACATTGATCAGAGGTAACTCTGGGAAAGAAATGGTATCAACACTGCTTAGTTACAGGCATTTATACCCAGGGGGGTGGGATTCAATTTTTTAAACAACCGGTTCTGTGGGCATGGCTTAGTCGGTGGGCATGGCTTGGTGGTCATATGACTTGGTGGACGTGGCTTGGTGGTCATGTTGTTGGCTGGGCATGGCCAACTCAACATCACTCACATGAGGCACTTATCTCCTTGCCTGGCCTCTCATGACTGTGGGGATGCTGCAAGTGTGATGAATGGTCGTAAGTGTGAAAAATGGTCATAAGTCACTTTTTTCAGTGCCATTGTAACTTTGAATGGTCACTCCACATAAGCAAAGTACCAGCAAAGGAGGGGAGAAAAACTCCAGAGAAGTTCCAGAGACAGGAAGTCTAGTCCTGCCAAAAATGTAATAAGGGTTAACAGAGAGGCAGCTTCTGTAAGCAACACCAGAATGTTTCCTTCCTGCCTTCCTTACAGGATTAGGCCAGTAATTTCTTCTAACAACCGGTTCTCCGAACTGCTTAGAATGTTAACAACTGGTTCTAGCGAATCGGTGCGAACTGGTAGAATCCCGCCCGTTTATACCTCCCTCTCTATCTCTCTCTCCCTCCCTCCCTATCTCTCTTCCTCCCTCTCCCTGCTGTGTAAAATACCACCTCTTTTCCTATCCAATTTTCAGAAACAATTATGCATGCAAAGGCAGAATTTGATTTCATATAGGTGGAACACTATGCAGTTTTGTTTTTCAATCAAGCTTATCAAATTGGGGAAGTTAATATAGAGCACACCTTTCATTTTTATTGATTCTATTACATTTTCAGAAAATGTAAGCAATTTAACATTTAAATTTGAAAAAGCCCATAATCCACATCAAAACGAAGTGGCAATGAAGGTAAGTAGAAAAATACTAAGATAATACTACATATTTAGTTTGCATGAATACTTGTATGCACACATTAGATTTCATTTAGTTTGTTGTACATAATGTGTAATTTTAAAATATAAAATGCTGACATATGCACACAATATAAAAATTGTTTTGACTTTAGCAACAAAATGCTAACAACTGATAATTAAATGTGTAAATGTACTATTGGGATCAAAATAATTATTTCACAATCCCCATAGAAATATATTTACAATTACACAGATGGCTGTTTATGAGGTGTTCATTCAAAACAGTGTCTTCAGAATGTAAAGCATACATTGTTAAGCAATAAATGTCTATTCATTCTTAAAAGACTTGATAAAGGAAGGAAGAAGAGATGTGTTTACAACTGAAAATATTTTTCAGAAAACCATCTGTAGCAGAGCTGAGGACCACATCCATTAATTGCTGACTCCAAGCCAATCACTTCTGAAAGTGAATACAGTATGCAAACAATATGCATCAGTCTGATGATGATGCATTACTACTTATTCTCAGAAATGCCCATTTTCCATGGTTGCATAATTTCTCTTTTAAATAAAACATAACTAATAAGTAGTCAGAAAAACAACCACACAGAATTGTTTGGAATATAATGCAAATTAAGGACCTAGCACCTTGAATTTTTCTCAACTGCTCATTATTTTACTCCATATCTTTGTTTTGTTCTACTTTTGATTATATGGAGCCAATCAATGTTACAAAGATACTGATTGAAAGAAAGAGTAACATAAAATGCCTACTATGTAATTTTTCTTTTGGCAAAGGCAATTAATTTTGTTCTCATTATAACTTTGATGCTATTGTAATATTTTACTTTTATACTTGTATTTTCACCTGAAAAGAGAAAAAGAAAATATGATTTATGTATAGCAACCCTCGTTTCCCAAGTTGTGTTATCATATTTATTATATTTCTGTATTGCTGGACTCAAAAACAACTCCAAGTAGTTTATAACATAAAATGAAACGTGGATGATTCTTGTATGATTCACAATAAAGTACTGATCCAGAGGCTTGAAGTGGGCAGTTTTTGACATCTCAAACTCTTAAAAAGTTCTTGCTGTGAAGATGACCTAAGACAGCATGTTGCTATGACCATGAAAGAAATT